TCACTGTCACTGCACCACAACCTTTGCCATTGCTGGTTGTGCAGCCAAAAGGGCCTTCACTTGAGCATAGATATATATAGAATTGTCTTGCAAGTAATTCTTATTGATGTGACTAAGAACAGGTCCAGAAACATTTCTGCAGAAATGCAACATTGATAGCATGAAAGACATTGCCAGTCAAATCCAAGGCAGGATGCACTTGCGCACACAGTGCGCATAAGATTGGTTTTCACGAAACGGTTTTGCATTCCACGTCAGCGACATTTGCAGGATGTTCGTCTTGCTGGCACATGTCACCACTTTAGACTATCACCGCCGTACGTTTTCATTAATCATTTTGAATTTAATTGCTTGGCTGTCAGGAACGTTTTTTGCGCACACAAAGGGGTGCGCTGCCAGTCACACACCTGTGAAAGCAAGATCAAGTGATTGCTATCAATGCTGTTGTGCACATTGTGCGTACAAGGGTTTGCTGAAAGGCACTATTTTACTAGAGGAACAACCCCCTTTCCAAACAAATCCATCCCAACCGAGCCTTAACCATAAACCAGAGTACTGTTGAAAGGGTTACGGCAAAAGATTGCCAACAAGAGATGGGATGGTTGAATTTGTTACTTACTCAGCATTGGACATGTACCACTATAGACATAGAGTGAGACGAGCAGCGGCTGTTTGACGCATCAAAATTAAAAAACGCATCAAAAAATAAACAAAAATGCATCAAAAAAGAAATATAAATGCATCAAAAAAAACATAGAAAGAAACGAACAAAGGAAGGAAGGAAGGAAGGAAGGAACGAGGCAAGAAAGGAAGAGGAAGCAAGGAAGGAAGGAAGGAAGGGCTAGCGGGAGGACGGAAGGTAGGTAGGCAGGTAGGTAGAAACGAAGCAAGGAAGCAGGAAGGAAGGAAGGAAGGCTGTGAAATTGAAATGCGATGTTGCAAAGCTTTGCCCAGATGCCCAGCACAGAGACCATTCCAGTTGTCAAAGGAAGATTCATTGGGGAAACTCCATGATATTTGTTTTTTGGTCGTGCCAAGTTACATTGCGGGGGGAGGCGCTGCGCCCTCCCCCGCGCCCCCTCCCGCTTTTAATTGTTGAGTGTTTTCATTTCATTCATTTCATTTGTTCATTGACTCATTCATCCTTTCTTCTTTCTTTCATTTTCATGTTCATTTCATGTGATTTTACTGTTTGTGTTCTATTATTTTTTTGATCACTGCTTCGAATGGATTATTGTTCTTCCCTCTGCACGTTTGGGTCCGTTTATTTTTGTTTTTTCTTGATCACACTGGAATATGTTTATTTTTTGATGCATTTATGTTTTTTTGTTGATCCCCCGCCCGTTAATGGAATATTGCTCTTCCCTCTACACGTTTGGGTCCGTTTACGTTTTTAAATGTTTGTTTGATTCATTTGTGTTTTTTTCTTGATCCCCTGAAATACATTTATTTGTTGATTCATTTTTGTTTTTTATTGATCCCTCGCCCGTCATTGCTTCGCTCAGGGAAAGCAGACGATTCGAGTAACATTCAATTCAAAGTCAGACACTTAGTGTGTTTAGATTTACCACCGTAAGGCCAATTTAAGGGTGTTCTGAGGTGTTTTGCGGTTTTCTTTGTTCGGTGTAAGATCTCGCCTCCAATCGAATTCAATGCAAGGTAATTAGATGCAGGTGTAGGTTTAGCCTTCCGGCAAGGGAATGGTGTTCAGGCCTTGAAAAATGCACACCTGTATTTATCGTGACTCAGGTGCTTGCGGACCCACAATAGGTGGCAGGCGCACCTTTTGGCGCAACAGCGGGCGCGAAGCCTAGAGAAAGTCGAAAGAAAAGGGTTGCTAAAAGTATGAGTTTCCGGTATGTTGCTGCAGAGTACGTCAGTGAGGCGCTGCTGGACATGGTCACTGGAAAGCTCAAGGCGGTGGAGAAAACCTTGAAAGCAGATGAAGAGGCACAATGTGAAGGTTTAAACATGTTTAAACTCCGCAAGATCGACTTAAAACCGGAAGTTAAGCCGGGAGATTCCGGTGCAAAAGGTCTTGAACATGACTGTTTATTTTGAAGCACTTGATGTCGGAGTAAGAGACCCTTGTCTTTGTTCTGCTTTGGCATTGCTTTAGCATAGTGTTTTGTGGTAGGTGCAGGAGGAGGAGAGAGAACTGCTCCGTGGATTTCGAAAAATTGTTCGTCGAGAGCAAGGCGTGCCTAAGAGAGATAGTCATGAGATAGTTTTTTACTCTATTCTGTTCTTATTTGTAAGTTATATAAATAATGTGACTGACGATGTTGAGTCAGCCTGCTCCCCAAAGCACCGGCAGGTCCTGACGATGTGCAAGCTCCGGTGGAAGTTTTTGTAGTGCCTTTGGCAGAGTTCCAGTACAAGAAGCATCAAGAGGTCTTTGGCTTGTCGCGGTTCTCAAAAGGGGCAATGCCAGGTTGAACAGCACCCAAAGTTAAGAGCTGAAGCGGAGGAGCTGTGCAGGATTCTGTCGTGGCTCGTCTTCAGTTCTCATTCTCACTGTTTCTCACCCTACTGTACTTGTCGCCTGCCAAGGTATCCATGCAAGAGATTTAGTTCGTTCTCACAAGCAACACAGGCGGTGGCAGAGGCAGGAGACGGCAAGGGAGTCACAGATTTGTTGCCTTTTGCTGGCCCTTGAACACGCAGGCTTCTCAAGGCACCATCCAGCGTGTGGTCTCGATGATATCGCAAAAATCAGTCAAAAGCAATCCTGCAAGTTGGCCCGGCATGATTGATTATTCTGCATTTGCCTCAACAATGCATCAGCAACCCAACTCCCGGAAAAGTAGTCATACAGTTCTAAGACCTTTGACCATGTTACAAAAGCTACACCGCTGCTTATGGAATTGGACCATGACTTTACTAGGTACTCTGCCAGCCTACACCTTACTTGAGATTTACTCGAGGGCAGCTTTGTCAACATGTGAATTGCTTCAGGTTTTGACGACCAAGGACCTTCTTGAAAATAGACCAGGAAGTACATTTGGTGATTGGCGCTGCAGGGCGGCTTTCCTAGTGAAACCAAACAGCAGAACAGGCAGATTCTGACAGACAATGTCGCTCTCCGGCAACCAAGGCCGTGTGTACAACTGGCAGAAGCGCGGGCAATGTCATGCTTGAGACGACTGGACCTCGGTCTTGTCCCGTCCAGTATTTGAAGTGTCCACGACACTTCTCACAAGCAATTCCAGCCACTCAGGTGCATTTTTCTAATTATTATCCTAATTATATAAATATATTCTTCTTGCGCAAGCAAGTATCGTCTTTGGGTGCTACTGTAAGAACCGGCCTCAACCTTTTCATGGATTGCAACTACAATCTCAGCATACATTGACCTGAACTTAACCATTATGTTATCGGGCTCAAGATCATCTCAAGTGCTTTGTCGTCCTATCGCGACATTGGACATTTTCCCAGCTCCCAGTGTATTAACTCCCACGCCAATTCTTCGAAGAAGTTGCAGAAGAATTCGAAGACTTGTGAGGCAACGAAAGGAAGGTTGTGGGATACTTTACTCTATGTCTTTCTGCATAAATATTTGCATATGATGTTTTTTGTCCATCAGTCTGAAGGGCCACAACTTGTGCAGTCCTGGTGGACTCATGGATCAAGACTGAAGGGCCACAACCTTTTTGAGTCCCCGAAAGCTGTAGTCCATCAGTCCATCCGTGAGGCTCCATGGTTGAAGAGAAACGCATTTCATGGTCCAAACTTGTTCAGTCCCTGAATCGTTTGGTCCATGAAGTCAGTGGGGCTGCTAATGTTTTGGGCTGAACACTTTGTTACTTTTATGTTCTTTTGCGTTCATCCTGTAAGTCTTACGTTTTCTCTTGTTGACTTACTTTGTGGTCAATGTCCACCTTTTCTTGGCTCCATCGACTACTTTGAAAGGACTACCCGTTTTGGATTGCTTTATGGCTTCGGCAGCTAATGAAGAGTCCTTCTCGCTTTATTGCTTGAGACGACTACCTCTGCATTCTTCTTTGCTCATTGTCAGATGTGCTTTGGGCATTGTCCGAGAGGATAGTCCCATTTGTGTGCTTGCTCCTAGTAGCGTCCTTGCTCCTAGTAGTAAGGCCAGGAGCCCCTAGTAGAGTCCTTGCTCCTAGTAGCGATGCCCTTTGCTCGTAGTAGCTTCTTGTTCCTATGAAAATTATGTTGTACATAGTTATGCCTGCTTGAGGGCTTCTTTCGGATGGTGTACGTATGTGTGCGTGACAGTTAGAAGCTGTTTGGATTCAATCATGCGTGTAAGGAGATACAGTACTGACTTACATGAGAGGGCCCCCCTGTCAAACTATGCACTGCGAAAGTGAAGAAGTTCGGAGGTTGTCCTAGACTTCGCCACTTGGTAGACACAAGTGGAATGGAATGTGTACAACGCAAGGCCCGGCTTTGGCAGGTGCCAGCACTCCACCCCCCGGAATGCGTGAAAGCGCCTGATATAGCATACAATTATTTGCCTGCCTTTACGGGTATATAATATACAGCAATATAAGTGTCCTCCCGCAGAAAGAATGCATCTATGAAACTTTGTGTCATTGGGCTGTGCAAGACCCTTGTTGCTCGGAATATCTCTTCTGTCGTTTTCAAAGCCAAAATGACTCGACTGACACAAACAGTGTATCCCTTTTGTCCTTTGCCAAGGTGTCATAAAGTCCCTGATATCCTGAGAATTCGTCACCGCATTCATTCATGTGTTCGATGTCCACTCCACCCCTCGCATCAACAGAGTCATTTATCTCAAAACATGGCTCAGTGTGTCTTGGATGTTCAGATGTTCTGCTCGGGAAAGGCCAACACAGATTGTGCTTCTCGGAATGGCATGGATGTCACGAGGACATGTCTCAGCGTCAGCGGATATACATGATCTGCCTCACATGGTTGCATCAACACATGTTCAACTTGCTGAAGGCGTCATGGAGTTTTTGGATTGATTACCTTGGTAGGACAGCAATTGCCACCAGAATGGCAGCAACAAGGAGTCTCGGTGGTCTTGATCACTGAGGCTGGCTGCCTCAAAGTGGCCAAGTCCCTCTCGGATCCAAATCGCGTAAATCTACTGTAGTTCATTGGTCGGTACATACATAGAGTACTTCAACCTTCAACGCTTGCATACGCTTGTGCGATCTTGTGCGAGTCACTGATCCTGTGATCTGCTCAACGCATTACAAGCTTTCATGTGGCAATCAGTTCTTGCTTGACTCGCAGGCAGGTGATTTTCATGAGGTTGGCCAGATGCCTAGAAGAGTTTTGGACATGCCATCGATTGATCAATGCTAGTGGACCCACTATATATATATACTCGGAGTGTTTGCTTGTAGCTTTGTCGTTTGTCGAGGGAGTTTGCAAGTCATGACAGGTAGCCTCCCTAGAAAGTGGCCCTTATCACGTCACAAGTGGCAAATGGCAAAGATGTCCCACTTCACCAACGGAAGCGTGTCATGCACGGTATGTCACCGACAGCAGCCTACTACTTTTGTGGGAGGTCGCGACCCGGCTCCACCAACCGTGAACACCTGGAAATGCAAACCTTTGCTTTCAATTGGTGACACTGGTTTGGCCTCTGTGCCCATCATTCTCAATCATCCCAAGACTTGCTGATGAAGAAACAGTGTTTGGCTCAGACTTCTCACCACTTCTGCCACTTCAGGTCGTCAGCTAGAGGCATCTGGTGAAGGCGAGATTCGAGAAAAGCTGCGTGAGAAAGGCCAGGATGCAAATGGTGTCAAACTGTTTTGTGTCCATGCAAGCAAATGTTTCTGTAACCCCCACCAAGCAGCTGCATCGAACTCAGCATGGTATGTACCAGAAACTATCGGACCATCATAGATCCCTGCCCATTGCCCACGCCTATCTATTTATTGCTGTATCTCCACAGTTTTTTAATGGCCCTACCTCTCCCCACTGCTTCACATTTCCTCTACATTATGCATTCAGTATGTATAATATATACATATAGAATGCACATGCACACCATTTCTTGGAGCATTGTGAAGTTTTGACCTTTTTGCTTCAATTCACCTCCAGCCGATTGACGCTTAGTACACATTGTCAGTGGTTCTAGAGTCATATGCTCCACATCCATGTTCTTCTTGCGTGCTTTGGGCGCACGCTAGCTGAAGCTGCCCGTCTTGAAGCTGCCCCTCTCAAGAGGTGTGCTTGGCACATACCATGAAAGCTGATACTTGAGTGCTCCAAGCCGACACTGTGCCCTCCTGTCCCAGACTTCTGCAAAAAGACGCAAAGGTGAATGGTTCTGAACATCCGCAAGCAACCCACCACGAACGCCAAGTTGATATTTTTGTTTGGAAAGTAATGGGCCGTTTCAGGGCAGGCACACAACAAGTGACAAGATCCGCAGGAGATCCACGGACGTTCAATGCGCACACACATTTACAGACCGCCATTGCTGAGTCACCCGGGAAATCTCAGGATTCAACAGTTTCGGGGACATCCTTGATTAACTCCTATCCTTTACATCCCGACAGCCGAATACAGAAGGGAGCCGCGGACAAAAGTTTTGAGTTTCTGTCATACAGTCCCGTTTTGAAACCAATGCTAGAGTTTCTAAGATGTCCATAGGTTAGCTACAAATCAGTTGCATTTCTTGCATCGCTGCCTTCTCTCCTGCTTCAGGCATCTGCGATTACCTGCTTCACCCGTTGTCCTTGGAGGGCTTGTCTGCAGTTTTCCTCCTAGACTTGTCCACAAGCACATTCTCGCATGCTTAACTCAGAGGTGTTCGACTTAACTGGAAATCCGTCTCGACGGATGAGGTGATTTCGAATGCTGAAGAGCGTCGTTTGGAAGAGTACCTCCTTTTGGCCGGGCACAATGCTAGCGAACTCAAATGATATTGGTCCGGGTATCGTGCCAGTTCTCCTAGGATATCCTGGGAAGAGGTGCCACAGCATGCGTTCACAAGGCCAGTTCGTGTATTTACTACTACTGTAATAGCTTCTTGTTCCTAGTAGCTACTTGCTCCTAGTAGTAAGGCCAGGAGCCCCTAGTAGCGTCCTTGCTCCTAGTAGCGATACCAGGAGCCCCTAGTAGCGAACATTGTTTTATCGGCAGTTTTGTGTGCGTTGAAGTGTTGTGTTTCTCAGCCCAGATCAAGTTAGGCAAAGCGGTTGCGGGACAATGAGACGGTGGCGTTGAAGGAGATCAACATGTTTGGCCCTTTGAGCAAGACAACCGAAACAAGATGAACAACCAATGAACTAAGCTTCGTGCAGTGCAATAGTAGCAGAGAAAAGCATGCAAATATGTATTTTATATATATATACATATGTGTTGTTTCTTGGAATGGCGTTGGAGGCGAAGACTCAGCAGGGTTGCAAAGGAAGAAATTGATCGCGAGCTTAGGCAGCCTGGCTATGTTTTGAGACAACTAATTAGTTTTCGCGGTGCAAGCAGCATGATGAAAAACACGATGAAACTCGTACTGTACGTGCCCTAGAACTATTTGCAGTATCTGCTTGCTGAAGATGTCGGGAACCAACCGTGGAGCCTTCTTAACTTATGGATGGTGGGTGTGGTGGGGGTGGTCAAGGGGGCGACCGGGGGCTGTAGTACAATTGTAGCAAATGCAAAGTCGCTCTAACTCTACATAGTTTTGGATTCGTTGCACAGTATATTGTCTCCAAGATTCAATCAAAGCTTCGTTGAGATTTCTGGTTTTGGCGCTATGGAAGCAATTGTTGTTTCGGCACGTTCAAAAGAAATCCAGCTCGCCTTTTTGTGCTGCCAAATGCAGGGATACTCACCCGATGAATTATGGTGGCCCTGTCAAGGGCATGTTGCTGATTTTCGGGATATGTTCGTGGGCAGGTCGCATGTGGTGCTTCTTCACTGGAGAAATATGATATGGCATAAGATCACCTGTGAAATTTCCTCTACAAATTTGGTCAACCCATTGTGTTGGAAACGACTAGTTTGTAGAGAAAACAGTGGTTTTCTACAGAATCACTGTCCTGGGTGTTCCTGATTTGTAGAGTGATCAGGGTAGATTTTGAGCATGTTAGCAAAAACATGATTTGCAAGGCAGGGTCCATTTATAGAAACGGCATTTGTTGCATATCTTTCCGTTGACTCGAGCATGTGCACCCACCCACCATAATTTTGCAGAGGGTTTAAGCATCTTCCTGTTGACACAAGGATGTGCACCCGCCCACCATAGTATTAGTAGAGAGACAGAAACCATTTCGTAGAGGAAGCAATACACCAATCACTGATCACTAATAATTTATTTGGAGGTGGGAGTCACTTAGTGAAATATGTGTCCAAATAATTAACTAAAATAGTTATTTGGCAAGCCATGTAGGTGGTGGTACCAAAATAAATCTAATATGATAGATATTACTTCTAAATAATTTTGAGTCTATGACCACCCACCTGTACAAAATTACTTAGAAATAATGTTGAATATATGAGGACCCACCTCTTATTATGTCTATATATTTTTGAGTTTCCGCTCCAAAACAATGGCTGCGCGATGCAAGTCGTCCCAGTCATTAGTTCGCAGTGGAAACTCAAGGTGTTTTTTTTCAAACGTTAAAAGGTGTTCCTAGGTCATCAGCCATGAAGCTAGTGTAGGAATACACAAGCATGGAATCATACAAAGGAATCAGGGTCAACGTAGCAAACCTCAAAGTAGCTAGTGTTTTCACTTTTTGCTGTTGAACTCCAGCACAGGGTTTAACTGTTTGGAATTTCTCAAAACCATCACTTTTGCACGTTTTGAAGATCGGAGCCTCCCGGACCCTGATTTTGCAGAGATTGAGTGGGCCTGAATATGGCCACAGGGTTTAATTGTTTGGCTTTTCTCAAAACCATCGCCCTTCCCAATCTTCCAAGATGGGACCCTCCAGGGGCCCTGATTTTGTGGAGTCAAATCTTTGGTGACAAAATGTTTTGACTTTAGAACCACAGCACTGAACCACAATACGGGCTTAGTTTCAACTCCAGCACCAAACCGTTTTGGAAGTCAAAAACTTGGCTGTCAAACCGCTTCGGACTTTGAAACTCCAGCAGAAACTCCAGCAGCAAATTGGTTTGGAATCAAGATTCTGGTGCCAAACTGTTTTGACATCTATCTCCAGCACCAAGCCGTTTTGGAAACCAAACCGTTGTGAATTTTCCCTGTTGTTGGTATCTTGTGTACAGCCGAGTTCTGTCCATGGTGCATTCCGCCGCCATTTGGGTTTACAGGGCCCTTGAGCTTACCCGCGCTTACGCCTGCGTGAAAACGCCGTTGGACGTCGCGGTCGGGACCAATTTCACATTGGTAGCGGAGCAGGTTCGGGTTCGTCCCACTGCATCCATCAACCCGTAAATCCGCCGATCCAGGATTCGTTCGTGCATTCGTGCCGAGAACTTGCAACCAAGTGTTCTTGAAATTGCCCGTTGAGGCCTGACAGACAGGGAATGTCGGTCGCAGGACTTCGCTTTAATCCCGACAAGAATTCAGCAGGCGGTACTCACATTTGGAGACCAAATCTGGTTCGTACATCTATTTTGCTGATGCCGCATCGTTTCATGACTGGGAATTCCGCACCCGCCTTCGCATTCGTTTATGGAAAGAAGGCAACAAACACAAGAGCAATTCCAGAAAGAGTACACCAGCGACAACACCAAAGAGGAGTGACATGCCCAATGGAGGTACTGAGGAGGACGCTGAGCTCCCAGGTTTCCCTCCTGTCGAACCAGAAGATGAAGAAGAGGAAGTAGTAGTCACCAAGCCAGACATCAGCCCGCTCGTGAACAAGATTAATCGAAGGTTTGCCTGGAGATGCCTTCTTGCTGGCCAGGGACGTCGGTCTTGATGCCCTGACCAGTGAGGAAGGATTGGAAGACCTATTGTAGAAGATGAAGGCTTTCGTTTTCCCACGTGCCAATGAGGAGGCGAAGGAATTGTTCCGTGCTGGCCAGAAGCACGGGGGCCAATTATCTCGCCAGTCCGGAGAGTTCATGCTGTCGTACACCAATCGACGCAAGCGTTGGTGGTCCGTGCTGCAGGAATTGGATTCGACCATGATGCTGAGTGACAGTCTTCGTGCCGAACTGTTGCTCGAATTGTCTGGTTTGTCACGCCAGGAGATCCTTGTGACCAAAGCATGTGCCAACCCCAAGAACTTCGAAGGACATTGCAAGGTTCTCGTTGACTATACTCAGGAGTTCACCTCAGAGAAGGTGGCAAGACATGGCAAGGCCGCTCTTCACCTATGACTGGGAAGGGCAAGAGCTATTCGAACCATTCAGGAAAAGGCACATCGTCAACATGGGAAACCATGGAAGAAACATTTGAGACCAACTTCGATGAAGGCGACTCCCACGCCTGGTTGGGAGATGGATTTGATGAGGAAGAAGAAGTGCAGGAGCAAGAGTTCGATTACCTTGAAGATGAAGAAGAAGCAATTGCCTTGAACGCAATGTTGGACCTCGAGGAGGCCGACGATCGGCAAGCAGGAGAAGCTATCCAGCTTCGGCTCGCTGCATTCAACGCATTCGGCAAGGCAAAAGGCAAAGGCAAAGGTTTTGGCAAGAAAGGGTTCAAAGGTAAAGGCAAAGGCAAGGTTGCCCGCAGCCAGATGAGCATTGAGCAACGCCGTGCCAAGCTTCGTGACCTGAAGGCCAAGTCCAAGTGTCTTCGCTGTGGAGGCATGGGACATTGGGCAGGTGACCTTGGTTGCAAGTTTGCGAACAAGCCACAACCCCCGAAGCCTACTGCCAACCTAGCCTGTGAGAGTGAATCATCAGATGAAAAAGAAGGGTTTGTTTATGTAGGTGCAGCCACTTCTACTGAGCAGACAATGCTGCCATGATGGCATTTCGATCAGGAGCATCCGGTAAGGGCTCACGTCCCCGTCCGTCGCAGGTACAGTCGTCCATGGTTCATGCAAATGATGCCACTTCGTCCGACTCAGGCGCCCGAGTGACTCCGTCGTCGGTCGAGCGCCCCATGGGATTCGACAATGTGTTCCAGATTGGACAGTTCAAGGGGAAGACCTATTGGGATGTTCTGCATCGACAACCCCAATTCTATGTGTGGGCAAAGAAGGAAGGTTCTCGTGTTCCCGGAATCCAGCAGTATGCGCAATGGGTTGACCAGTTCTTTGAGTTCAGGGTGGAGAGATTTACCTTCGAGATGAACCTGTTCAACCTCCCCCTGCATTGCCCGGTATCGCCAAGAAAGGAACTGCAAAGGCAACGCCGCCTTATCCACCATTGCCCAACAAGTGCCAGAATTGCCAGGAGTTTTCGTTCCGAGGGAGCACGGGATACACGATTCGTCGCGCGTGTTTGCGTTGTGGGCATTCATCCACTGAGAAAAGGGAAGAGAAACCTCAGTTCAAGCCTGAAGATTGCCCCACCAGGGGATCAAGCCGTTCGACTCATCGCGTGTGGTACAAGCAATGTTGTTCGTTCATTGTTGAACTGCCAATGGAACTACGCCGTGAGCGAGTTGCCTTGGCAAAAGCTGTTGAGTCAACAACCCAAGACAAGGTAAGCGTCATTGAAGCCATCACTCGAGATGATCAAGAATCAAGATGTTTTGACCCCAGAAACGGTAGGCAGAATCTTAGGCATTTTCAGCGGCTTGGTAGAGTCTGAATGTTCGTCGTCGCCCGACACCCTGACTCAGACTCGACTTCATGAACTACTGCAAGAAGCTGCATTCCAAGACCAGATCTTGTTGGAGCAGGGCCCAATCGGTGATGAGATTGCCTGGGGCCTTCGGGACCTCGAACACATAGGTTACGCTGCCGTCGAGACCAGTGCATTCGTGTTCACTTTGGAAGTGCATTCGAGCGTGAGCAATGGATTGGTATACCCCCAACAAGAAACCAGAGACATGTGGTGCGAGAGTGACCCCAACATCTATGCCATTTTGGACTGGACGAGGGTTGCAATAATAGCACTTGCCATTCGCAATACTGGATGGAGAAAGCAGAAGCCAAATTCAAGCAATTGGGCTATGAAGTAGGCTGGGCATCGAAAGAGGGCAAGGTTTTTGAGGTCTTGGGAGTGAAGGCAACAAGACCCAAGGTTGCAGGGTTTTGCCATTTTCGTTGAACATGCAAGAATATGCAAGACAACCAAAACCCCATTTGAGGAATCCTTGAATCCCATCAGCTCCTAAGAGGGTCGATCGCCGATGCTTTTGTCGCTTCATGCGCAGTCCCACTTAGGTCTTGCGAAGGATTTGGCAAAAGGCACCGTTCATATTGAAGGTCGCCGACTCCCCATCTTTCGTTGCAGCAAAACAAGTCTTTTGATGATTTGAGTGACCGGGGGACTGATCGGCGCCACCCGGAACTTCCAGAGTGCGCCGAAGTGTCATCGAAAGTTTCGCTGTTGCTACA